AAAATAATTCTACTTTCAATACATTTTCTATCTTTTTTCCAAATGGGAAGTTGACGGAAAGTAGACCTATGAAATAGATCTATTTTCTTTGGTCAGACTTTTGACTCGCAATGTTTTTCTTTCTATTTTCTGGATAACTCTCATTTTCTTTGTTTTTTCTAGAAATTTTCTTCATATTTTTTTTTTTAGAGAAAAATTCTATTTTGCTGCTTGGGTTGTCTAATGGTCCATTTGCCTCCGACATGGGCATATTTCCTCACCCTGTCCTGAGGTAGATTTTCTGCGATTTTTCTGTTTTCCCGATCGGTATAGAACCGTGCCTCTCAAGATCCTATTTCCCCGGGGAAGAGGGCAATGCGCTGTGCGCCGAAGATTCAACAGGGGGCGGGGTAGGGAGCGGGACAGAGTAACAAAACTAGGACTGTCCACCCGTCACCCCTCGTCGCGCCGTCATTGCTGTCGTTTTTTTCCGGTCTAATTGTTGACACCGTTCTGTGCGGTCGGGGACTTGTCCGAGGTCCGAGGTTCGCCTGCCGGTGCCACGAGAAACCGGATGCACACATCGCGAATAGGAGCCGAAACTGACGCCGCCGATAGCCCAAGGTTCCATAGCTGGCCATCGACAGGGTGAACCTTAGGTTGGGAAAATCGGGAGTCCTTAAATGTGGGGCTTGGAGGACAGGGCGCATAAGTGCAGTTTTTGCTATTTCGAGAAATACGTGTTTGAAGTTCCGAAATTACATGGAGCCTTGAGGCGGATAGAAAGTTCAAACTGAATTTTTGATGCTGAAAACTTGAACTTTGGGCGCGAATTTTTCACAGAATATGCCTTAAGACTAGGATTACTTGAAATCATTAGTATCTCAATTTTTTAAAAAAACTGCATTTTTAAAAAAACTGCACTTGTGCGCCTTTTCCTCCAAGCCCTTTAAATATACTTCGTATGAGCCGTCAGGGTGTCTACTAAAACAGGCTGACTGAAAATCAGTACTTTTACAGTACATTCCCAAGACATTCAGTACCTCCTCAACAGGAAAATCCAGTACTTTTTCAGTACCTTCATTTGACGAAATTCGAAAAATTTCAAAAATTTGAATTTCTCGCTCAAATGGCGACAAAGATGAAAAAATTCCGGACCTTCTTGTGGAATTTCCGCACTTTCTCAGTTCTTCCGGACCGCCCTTAAAAACCCAGTCCTATTTCCGGACTTGTAGACACCCTGGCCGTGACCTGACCGTTCTCAAGCCCATTCTAGGGCCGAATTTTGTTGGTCCTTCCACCGTACTTAAATATACTTAGGATGAGCCTCGACTACACTTAATTTTTAGCGGTTTAGCGCTTCTGATTGGCCGGTGGTACGGTTTGGCCTCATCGATGGATGTTGCACCTCGATGTGAAAAAGCCGGACAAAATTTGGCCCCTGGCTAGCCGGCAGTTTCAGATCCTTAACGGCAGCAGGGGTGCAGAATCTTCCAAGCTTCCACATTTCCACGCGCCTGCCACCCGGATTTCCACATTTACCTCATCAGTTTTATTCCACAAAATTTCCCACCAATCAAAAAATATGACGTTTTTCTTCCGTTTTCCTTCAATTTTCGACTTTTGGCCCCTTAAAACGTTCCCTCCTTTCGTATTTTTGAAGCTTTTCTACATTTCCACGCGCCCGCCCGGGCATTTTCTGCACCCCTGCTCGACGGGTGTTGCATTTCGATAGCCGAAATGCGAAACCACATACCTCCGTTTGGGAAGTTGTAGACTTCCTATCATCCTTCACCTTTTCTTCGGAAAACTAGTCGACGTAATTTCTTGACGATTTCCTCGATTTTTCTTCTCTCCTGGCGAAATATTCTGTAAAAAATTCAAGCCATAAAGTTGGCTTGTTTCTCTTGGAAAAAATCAGACAGGAGCGGAAATTTTGAAACACTGCGATAAGATACGTGGTTTCGCACTTTGGCCATCGATTTGTAATTTGGTCCGGGGCTGGGAAAAGCTCCGATGCAACTCCAGGGTGTCTACAAGAACATACTGACCAGAAATCAGTTCAATTCTTCTGAATTTTTTCAGTATATTCCCAAGAAATTCAGTACTTTCTCAGTACCTCCAACTGACAAAATTTGAAAATTTTCAATTTCTCGCGCAAATTGCGACAAAAATGACAAAAAATGAAAAAAATTCCGGACCTTTTTGCGGAATTTTCGTACTTTCTCAGTACTTCCGGACCGCCCTTAAAAAATCAGTACTATTTCCGGACTTGTAGACATCCTGGTAACTCTCATTTAAAACTTCGGCTTGGAAAGCGAATCCCTTCAGGATTTGGTCGGGGTTACGGAGTGAGCTGAAAAATCATTCCTTGAGCTGAATTCGAGCAACAGAGATGAACATGAGCTATTTTTCTTGGAGAAATTGAGTAAACGGAACTTTTTTACGTGTCTCCTCCCC